TATATATATAGCATGCCAGAAAATAAAACAAATATATATTTTTATATTAACCTTTTTTTTTTATTTTAGGTGTCTATCTTATGATACAGCTACAAATCGGACTCATTACATAACTTCCGAGTCTCCACCTTTGTCTTTCAGTGCTGATTCCAAAGGTGAGCACAAAAAAAAATATAATGTTTCTTTAAGTTTTTTATCAAATTAATGTACAATATACTAAGGTAATTATTTTATTGCATATTGTTATAGCTTATGAGTGGGATGAGCAATCTGCCCAATATAATCCAAATTTATTGGATGATCCAGAACTTATTGCTGGGAAACATAGAACACTATTAACGTTTACATCATATATGGTATATATTTTAATTAATTTTCACTGTTTTAGTTATAATATTTTTTATATACTTTAATTAATATATATAACTCAATATTTTATGTATATAGGCATCTGTTATTGATTATGTAAGACCTTCCGATTTGAAGAAAGAGTTAAATGATAAATTCAAGGAGAAATTTCCTCATATACAACTCACTCTCAGTAAGCTTCGTAGGTTAGTACATAATTCATATATTATTTATATATATTCATTTTCCCTTTCCCTCTCTCCTACTATTAATTTCTTATTCCAGTTTAAAACGGGAAATGAGAAAAATAGCTAAATTAGAGTATGGCATCGATTTACTCACTGTTGCAATGGCTTATGTATACTTTGAGAAGCTTATTCTTCGAAATATCGTGACAAAGCAAACGCGGAAATTATGCGCTGGTGCTTGTTTACTTCTCGCGGCAAAATTGAATGATGTGAAGGGTGATATTCTTAAATCGCTTATTGAGGTACTTTTATATTTTGCGTTTTATAATGTAATGAAATTTTTTCTTTACATACAATAATTATCTTTTTTATTATTTACAGAGAATTGAGGGTGTATTCCGTTTAAATCGCAAGGACTTAATTACATCTGAGTTTGCTGTGTTGGTAGCTTTAGAATTTGGTCTGCATCTGCCAACATGGGAAATATTTCCTCATTATCAACGATTGATCTATGAGTCCTGACATTCTTTCATTCTTTTTATACAATCCCAAAATGTCTCTGTGAAAAAATCTGAACAGTAAAGCATATCCGTAATAATAATCTTAATAATTTGGAAGCTATATCAACAAGCTTCAAGACATTATTACATTATATACTTGAGGTATCTTCTTTGTCCATTTCTTCGATTTAATTCAATTATGTACAATAATGGTTTAATATGAAGGACCCTATCAAAGGAATAACGATTGGAAAAACAATGCTTATGAGGTTCTTATTGTAATCGTTTCTGTGAGTTACCAATGCAGTACTTGCTGCATGCTGTGAATATTATTTTATTATATATTTGAACATATTTAACTTCCTGTTTAAATATCAGAAAATGATTAATGTTAAAGAGAAATCATATTTAACTATGGCATGATTAAAATATTTGTAATAAGTAAATATTATATACATACGCGTGTAAGAGAAAGAGAAGTTTATAAAATATTTTAACTCTGAGTTGCCTTTTATGAAAAATATTATGTCAGCGGTTTTGTGTGATATGCAGTCTTTTTTAGATAAGAAAATAAAAATAAATAGGTATATATATAATAAGTTTATAAGTAAGTTTATTTTGATGATTGTGCATGTTTTTATATATTTCACTATTTTATGTGTCAAAATATATATAACCTTTAATCATTTTAATTCTATGATAAGAATACTAAAGCAATGTTTGAAACAAGATATCTAAATAACTTCTTACATTTTGAATTGCTAGAGATAAAGATGTGGTCAAAGAAGAACATCGTAGTTTTTTTTTTTTTTTTTTTTCTACAATATCACAAATTTATCTGAAACATTTTTCTCTCTACTCAAATATAGAAAAATTATTTAGGTAACTTGTTTTTGTGCATCATCTTGTGTGATTATATTGTTATATATTTCACAAAACCGCTACTATTTTGGTTATACAGATTCACTTCTTTAACAAAATAAAAATTTACTTGGTTTTAAAAGAGAAAGAATGTTAACAGAAAAATTGCTATATGTATGAAAGAATAAACAAACACAAACTTGATGCTTCTTACAAAAGCATGATAGTAATAAAATATTGAGTATAGATACCAAATACATATAACAAAATATTAAAATAGCTTAGAGAGTACATTTCTCACAAATGTGTGTGTTAGCATAATAGTCAAAATTTAAAATAGTATGTACTTCATGGCAGTAAATAATGACTAAAAATGTGAATAACATATAATTACTTAATTTTTTGAAATAATATCATATTAATTCTACAATAAAAATATTCTCTCACATTTACAATAATAATTATGTTACATAATAATTATAGAGTATGAAAAAAGGTTTTAAAATTCCATATAAATGTTCTTTTAATGAAGTTTATTATGTATGTAGATATATTAGATAAATTCATGATACATTGTGAAGTTTTTTTATTAAAGTTTCTCATTTTTTGTGGTGTCTATATAAAGTATTTCTGATATATCCATACAATGAGTTACTTAAAGTTTGTATAATTTGCATTATAACATATTCATATACTTTCTTTTGATTTATAAATTAGAGATTAAAAATAATCATTAGTATTTTAAGTGTTATTAAAATATGATTATGTATTTCACTTCAAAAACCTATTTGTTTTGTATAACATAAATGTAAGTAGTTGTTTTTTTAATTATTGAGTATATAGTTTATTGAAAAGTAATATGTATGTGTGTGTGTGTGTGTGTGTGTATATATATATATACACACACATATATAATACCAGCTTTTTATTTTTTCAATAAGTGTCAAGTGTTTTTTCCAATTTAACCAATTGATAATCCTGATCAAATTGTAAATACTATGGAAGTTAAATGAGTGTGATAAAGATAAACTCTTGTGTAGCATTATAAAATAATCTATATCCTATATATATTTTATTATTTTGTTGTATTTAAACTGAGTCATGTTCTTTTTAGAGATTACTAATATATTACAGATATTTTTCAGATTAGAATATATAGGTGTATCCCTTATTTTTAGAAAGATATTAGGAAAGTATGAGATAGGTGTCTTTCTGAAGGGTAGTTTTAATCAAGAATTGTAACGTTTTTCTCAAAAACTGACCAAGTTAAATGTGCTTGATACATAATTTTTATTTATATACTTTATACTGTACAAAACCTTTCCATCATAAAAACAAACCAGTGAGACTTAAATTGTATTTAAACTGACTTGTAGAATATGTATTTTGTGCTCAATTATATTTATCTATATAGAATTGATATTTAGCTCAATTTTTACTTACATATATCAGCTATTAATTCTTTAGTACTGTTATAATATGTTCTACTCTTACTTACTACATTATTTTCATAGACGATTATTTAAGAGAATACAAGAGCATTATAGTATTATTTTTTGTTACATTATTAATTTTATTATAATGTGCATTATTTTCTTATAAATTGTAGCAAAATTTTTAAACAAAATATTGGTCTGTAACATGATACATGCCACAGATATAT